CCCCCCTCCGTTCCCCCTCCCTCGACTTTGAGTAGCAGCTTTTACAGTAATCCAGTAAGAATTGAAAATGAGGATGTTTCATTTGCTAATCGAAAAAACCATATGAAATCATTTAGGAAAAGACGCCGGCTTGATTGCATTTCCGCTGAGTGATTTACGAGCAGCTGTACAATCGGGTCAGCTGGTAAGAAGAGAGGCTTGTCTCGAGCATCGGATACCGACAACGAAAGGTTAGAGGAGCTGAGTGTTCCACAGAAAACAAGAATGGTACTCATAATTTTTAGAAACAGAGAGATAATTTGAAGAATTTTGGAAAAGCATGGACAAATCTTTTTATGAAAAAGCGCATCGAAAAAAATTTTTAATAAAAACTGACTAAAAAAATCCAGGCATGAGAATTTATATCTGATAATAGAAGAAATACTAAGAATCAAAAATACTTCTGCTTTCCAAGTTTCCCAGCTTCTCAAAAAAGATAGTGAATGTGGAAGAGGTTTTAATTTTTTATCCGTTCCTCTTTACTGCTGTCTCCAGTTCCTGCCTCGAACACCTGACGAGTACCCCTGGTCACAGCTACTAGGGTTTGTACCTCGCAGTGCCTCAACACTGCTTTGTCCGCTGCGGCCGTCAAACTACGATGGGCTGCCTCCTTGATCGATTTTAGAAAAGCGCGAATTTCTAATTATTTAAGAACTAAAGCAAATCCTTATTATTTCATAAAATTTTTGCAACAGGATGCCACCTGTTTGGTACAAGCGATCCGAACGGTTTACGTCTCAACGTTATTGTATGTATTGGCAAAAATTTGATACTTTTACGCCAAGACATCAGTTCAACAGAGCGGAACCAGAATAATGCAAACATCACGGAACTCTTCGCTCATATCAAGGTAAATGGCATTTACCGTGACACAAGCAGGGGATACCAAAAAGGTTGAAACGGAGACCAGGGAAGTTGGATTGCAGAGATGTAGCTGTTCCTTACGTAATTTCTAACAAAAAGCTATAAATCATTATGTGACACACTGTTGTTCCAGACGGTACCACTGGCTGAAGAAGCAACGGCCCTATCGATATTCGAGCGTATTTTTGCGGAAATTACAGTGCGTGTGGTAGCGCTGAGTCGTACGAATGTAGCAATTGCTGATTTTGGTACTGGAGCGGTAGAGTACATCGACTGGAATGTCCCGAAAAATCCGATCAGTGCGCTACAGGGTGCATCCGAGAGTCATCATGCTGACGAAATATTGCTCTGTCATCGAAGTTCGACTTTTCCTCCCTATTTACTAATCATGCATCTCAGATCGATGAGTTGAAGAAACGCCTCAAACAGCTGTTAATTTATAAAATGGTTCTCCGTTTAACTTTCCCCTGTCCGCAGTTTTACTGACCAATAGCTGTATAATCATCTGATGATCAGCTTGCTGCTGGTGGCAGCATAGGCGGATCAGCACGGCCTCTTGCGAAAGAGGGAGGACGGCAACGAGTGGGGCTTCTACTGGCGACAACCGCGGGAAGTAAGGCTCCTGGGGTGTGGGATCGGCGGAGAGGAGGGGGGAGGTGGGGGTTGCGAAAAGAGTTTTCCTCAGTCTTAACTTTAGACCCAGACTTTTGTAGTACTCATAATTTTAGCGCGTAGCGTGAGGTATGAACAGATGCAAATGTTTTTTTTTTTTCACAATTTGGTGTTATAATACCTATAGAGCTATTTTAGATATGACTGTAACAATCAACACGATGCCGGATGGTGCATTCAAAGTGAAGGAAACGTTCTGGTCTTGCCCCCTCAAAACATTCGGTATTATCGTTACTAACAATAATAATAACAACCTAACAATAACAGTAAAACAATAACAATACTAACAACAATAATGGTAATATTAACAATAATAACAACAATAAAAGTATCAATAGTAACAATAATGAATTATTGTTATAAGACATCTATTTCATTTTAGGATGCGGTACTGGGTGGTAGAGTACATCGACCGGAATGTCCCAAAAAATCCGATCAGCGCGCTGTAACTCCTGAATTCTCTGACAATTATACGAAAACATCCGTGCATCGCTCTACAAATTGCTAAAAACTTTAATCTCGGATGAACCTCACCTATTTCCCGAAAAAACCTCGAATTCCTAGAGCTTAAGTGGCGTTTAGAAACCTAGAGGTCATTTCGAAAATTTTCCGTGATCCTGATAATTTGCAGTATGCCGTTTCCCGTATATCCTGGGTTTTGGTGATGATCTGATCGAAGTACGGCTGGCTATCAATGGAAATCTGCTTTGCTCAATGTATATGCCTCATGTTAAAGTGCTCTCAACAAAAGTATGTTTTAATTTCATCCTACAAATTTCACTAATCCTTCTGTAATGAAATTCTTATTCTCCAAACTACTACAGAACTATCCCAAAAATCCCAATCCAGACACCTTATCGTGGTGTGGGAGACATGCAGCTCAAGATCGAGGGCTGGTACAGCTTTGTCCGACGTGTGGAAGCATTCCAGTAACATCACTAACATGGGGTACTCATAAAATGTTTTTTCGAAAAAAGATGTGACACACGCGCTTTTTGCTGACTGTGCATTCTCGTTATTTTTTGCAGAGACAATAAATTTCAAAAAAGAAAAAATGCCTAAAAGTATGGCGGTGTTAAATTTTAACATCATTTCAGGATGATATCATATTTGCAGCCGATAATCCCGGCGCGTCATGCAGCAGCAGCACAACAGGAACGCCAAAAACCAGTACAACACCAACCGAAACCTCAAAATTGAAAAGTTACTACCTGAACAGGCGTTCAAGCAGCAAAGAAAAAAGCCAACAACAACAACAAAGAAGGTCAACGCTTAAAACACTTCATGGGTTAGGTCAAGACAGAAAGGCTTGGCAACGTACTAGACACTTAGCCGGCAGCACGATTTTTATTTTATCATGAAAATATGATGAGGAAAAATGCATAAAAAATCCATTAAAAAATATATTTTTAAAAAAACATAAACATGCAAAAAAAAAAAATAAAATATAGTACACAAAAATGTACATAAAAATATAAAAACTAAAAAACAAAAGGAAAAATCAACGAAAATATACAAAAAAGGATAATTAAAAGACAATTAAAAAGAAAAATATACAAAAAAACAAAAAAAATATTGTGACGAAAACAAAAAAAAAATCGCCCACAAATCAAAATCCCTCAAATTTATCATACATATTCTACATTAAAATGTACATATTCATATTAAAGCAGTCATTTTTTGATATTTACTTTTATTAATAGAAAGTTATAATAAGAAGGAATGAAACAGAGAAAAAAAAGCGGAAAAAGAAGCTAGAAAATGAAAATTAGAAATATCTATATTTATATCATTTTTGTTTGTACTTCTTATTCACTTTTATTTAACATATCTGCTTATATGCCGTAAAATTTCAGATGGAATATTTACCGTATCGGCGAAATGAACAATGAGAAATCTGAGCACAGTTTCAAATCGAATACGGACCTCGATTTTGCTCCACGGCTTCGCAATCTGAGGCAACAGGAACAGCGGCGATATCCTTCGCTAATCGAGCGAAACTTCACAGGACTAAGTGACGACACGGGTGGGGCAGTAGTAGCTGATGGTGGTGGTGGTCGAGCTCTAACTGATGATCGTTCAGCACCAAACAGTCCTTCCCCAGCAACTGCCTTTCAACCTTCCCCTCCTCCGAATCATTCGACTTGCAGTTATGATGATCCATCACTGCTCACTGAACACTTTTTATAGCTGTCTGTCTGGTTTCCGGACACTGGCGTATCTGGTTTTCTGCAAAGGAGAAACGATTCTTACATTTGCGGACCTCGGTTAAACTGGTATTTTTTTTTTCTGTTTGCATCTCTACTGGCTGTAAGTAAGCGTTAACTCAATTTTAGTACATTACATGGTAAATCTCGCTTCACCACTCAGCTTTTTGCATTTTTCCTGTCCATAGTCGGATCCA